TTTTTTTTTTTTGGTATAGGGACCTTCCGGTTTTCAGAACCACAGGGAAACCGACTAATCTCGAATCGAGTCGGGTAGGACCACAAGAGCGGCAAAGCTCTCCCTCAAGAGTTTTTAACACTGCTGCATTCTCAGTGTTCGAACACATAATTCTTTTTCTTTTATTTGATACTTTGGTTTGTTTCTATCTCAAACTTTGGTGGGAATTGTTGATTTTCTATTGTTTTTAAATAAGTCAGAGTTTTAGTGGATTCGGCAAGACATGTTCACGAGCTGAATCGACCCGTGAACAGACCTTTGAACCGAATTCGGCCCGAACTGGCCTCTTAAGGGTTGGTTCATTGAACCGGACCTTTAGGGTCCGCCGGTTCACAAATTTTTTCGGGCCGTGTCGGACCCGGACTACGGGTCGAACGACGGACCGCAATGTTATTTTTTTTTTTCTCTCTTTTTCTACCGGGCCATAATTTATTTCGGGTCGTGTTGGGTCGCTGCTCGACAATTGATCACCTAGATCCGGCTTCACTCAACTCTTTAAGTTTTAGGTTTACTTTGTTAATGTCTACTTGTTAAAGTTTGCAGAATATAGATTTTCGACAATTTCTTGAATTATTGATTCAGGTCAATTAAGGCTCTAGTTCGAATCATTAATTTTAATAAATAAGATGAACTCAAACTCATTAATCAACTGGATTAATTAATGGGTTGAATTTTACTTTGACCCCATCAAGTGGATATAAAGTCATCCGAACCTATAGCGGCAGTCATACCGATTTTATGAGTTTATTCTTCTTCTATTTGTCACTAGCAAAGCTCATTGGTTTGTCACCTTCCAACTTCAAAACATAAATAATGCGCAAAAGATCAGTTTCGAAGTAAATTCGCAACTTAAAACTTATTCTTTATTTTCACAATTGAAAGGGAATATATAAAATTATGTTTTATTGATCCATTAATTAAGTTATGTATTTTTATTGATCCAAACAGTGATGATGATTTTTACCATTTTAATCAATATAAATTGTAATTAAACAATATAAACCAAGAGAACCCTAAAAAAACAACAACAACAACAACAAAAAATAATCACAAACTATTGCATCCAAAATCAATTCAAACCATTTATTGCGTCCAAAATCTTGGCCATTTCTCGCTAACTACTCTTATATTTGGTAGACAAATAAGTTATAGTTTATTGCTTATTTAATTAACTTATAAGTTATATGTGTTTACCTAAATCTCGTTTGTTAGGTCGAGTTTTTTAAAAGCTCGAGCTTATTTAATAAGTTTCTTTAGGTAACTTTTTAAATAAGCTAGTTGAATTTTTTACTCCAGCTAGTTTTCAGCCAATTTTACCAAACACTTATATCATATAAGCTAGTTTTACAGTTACAAGTCATAAGCTATAAACACTACAATTCCAACGGAAAAGTCCAACAGCAAAAATTTCCGTTGGAAATTCCAATAAATATTCCAACAAACTTAATTTTATGTTGGAATAAGTGTTGGATATTTGAGAAATTCCAACGAATTTTTTCCGTTGGAATAGCTGTAGGAATTTATTTTCATAAGATTTTCCGTTGGATATTTGCTATTCCAACGGCCGTTTTTCCAACGAATTTTTATACGTAGGAATATCCGTTGGAATAGCTATTCCAACGGAAATATAAAAAATTTCAACGGAAATTGTAAGAGTTTTTTTTGTAGTGAAACAATAAGCTTGAAAATTACTGATAAGCTATCAACTAGTTTATTAGTCGGTTAGTTTTACCATAGTCTTAGCATATTCAATTGTTGTATTTTCAGGTTATTGATTTCCACAATCAACGGATACTATCAAATCCAAGTAGCATAAGGTGACCATGAAAATCATAAAAATTGGTATAATATTCTACAAATGAGATAAATAATTCATATTCAACTCCAGATTTTTTTTTTTTTTATCTAAACAATTAATTTGCAGGCTCGCATGTATATTATTAATTAAGTGTTAAATTTTAATTAGTACCAGAAATTAATTAAATTACTCCACTTTAATTTAGATCTGCCATATTTACAGTTACAGAAAA